CTGACCGTGTATCAGTCCGTATCCCTGACTCTGTATCTGTCCATGTCCCTGACCGTGTATCCGTCCGTATCCCCGACTCTGTATCTGTCCATGTCCCTGACCGTGTATCAGTCCGTATCCCTGACTCTGTATCTGTCCATGTCTCTGACCGTGTATCAGTCCGTATCCCCGACTCTGTATCTGTCCAAGTCACTGACCGTGTATCAGTCCGTATCCCTGACTCTGTATCTGTCCATGTCACTGACCGTGTATCAGTCCGTATCCCTGACTCTGTATCTGTCCATGTCACTGACCGTGTATCAGTCCGCATCCCTGACTCTGTATCTGTCCATGTCACTGACCGTGTATCAGTCCGTATCCCTGACTCTGTATCTGTCCATGTCCCTGACCGTGTATCAGTCCGTATCCCTGACTCTGTATCTGTCCATGTCCCTGACCGTGTATCAGTCCGTATCCCCGACTCTGTATCTGTCCATGTCCCTGAGCGTGTATCAGTCCGTATCCCTGACTCTGTATCTGTCCATGTCCCTGAGCGTGTATCAGTCCGTATCCCTGACTCTGTATCTGTCCATGTCACTGACCGTGTATCTGTGTAGTTTCCTTTCACCTTTTAAAATTGTGTTGCTGATATAGGTCCACCTTACTGGTTTCTCCTCACTCCTGCTCCTAGCCGAACATTTGTTTGACATGATACTAGAATATGCATCAAAGAGACTACATGTACTGGTACTTGATTTGGTGATGACGTAGCATATTCTGTACTATGAGATGAATTACTCTAACATCCCTTTAAAAGCTTGTATGCTCCTTTAGCCCCTTCCTCAGCTCACATAAGCAAGTCCATAGAGAGGTCGCACCCAACGGTAATTCGTAGCGACGTAACGAGTATTTTTAACGAAAAAAGCTAACGAATATTCGTAAACCGTGAGGTTGCGCGCACTTGAACGCTTGAACTTTTTCGTAGTGGGTCGACGCGGCGGCCGCGCCGGTGCGAAGAGTCAGACAGGGAGTTGTAAAATATCAGTATTTTAGTACTCCAGGTAACGAAAAGTATTTTCGTAGATCTGCTCTGTTGTTTCGGTCAAGTAAGTTAGTTTGGACGGATCTTTGGAGCAACTTTCGTTACTCGAACCCGGCCGGTCAAAATTTCATTGTGCGCAACCTCTCTAGTAACTCGCGAGGTATCTTTGGATTGATTAGCGCTGGATTCGCAACACCTGGTAAAGTTTGTTTGATTCCTTGATGATGTTATGGCCTGGAGAGCACGATGAAAGACAAGTACATGTAGTGGTCTTCAAGCGCAGTCTTTCTCAGCCTACTCAAGCTCAACTGATGAGAGATAAATTCCACGAAACACTGTGCATTGAACAGGGACTGGTGCTTTCTTGCACCTTTGCCCGGTCGAAGGCTCGATGGGTATGGCGTGTGCCCTGGATGGCAGTCGTCAAGCCGTCAACTGGCGTCGAGTGTCAAGCCAAGTCAGTGAGAGTTCCCTGACACTGACAGACTCAGTGGATAGCACGATCTTCAGGCTAGGGATCTGACTAGGAAGCAACCAACAGTTTCCATGGTTTCGTTCCCTGTATTGTGGATTTGTTTTGTTTGATGACGTCAACAGATGTACAGGCATATAATGTATCTGCCTACTCGCCACTCGCCAGTCAGTTTGTGGTCGGCCGCCCAGCTAGCCAGGCAAGCTAGCTGTCCACGATCCATGACAGCTTCATTTTTATGCGGTACTGCACTGGGTAGATCTACTGGAGGATCGCTTTCCGAAATGCTAACGAACGGGGCGTTTTCGGCACGCGGCTGCGCCGTTTGCGGTACCGGTGGCCGATTGCGATCAAAACGTTCACCAACTGTTGAGGCGAGAGACAGCTAGCTCTTCATATCTGCACCTGTACATGATATTGTATTTGTAGACTGCAAACAGGGAGGTGAGAACGGGAATGCATACCCCAGTGCGGAACGGGACTAAACTTTAGTCTGTAGTCTACAGACTACACACACACACACACACACACACACAGACACACACACACACACACACACACACACACACACACACACACACACACACACACACTCAATGCAGTGTACGTCTAACGCCATAACAAGGTGCTGAACACTCGCAGACACAATCAAACACACAGTTGCGAGAGCAAGACGATTGTGTGTTAGACTATTATAATGCAATGGCAAGGTTCAACTTTGAGACTCAGCTCCAAGAGATACTTGGTGTCCCAGACTCAATTTGGCTGGGATGCGTCCAAGTTGACCTGAACAAACCCGAGATAGGCCGTGGCTCGGATGCCACTGTGTATACAAGTGAGTTGGAGGGTCTCCCTGTTGCTGTGAAGGTCTTACATAGTATTTTACTCCAACAGGGCAATGTCGGGCGTGCAGCTCTTCTGCAGCGATTCGGCACTGAGTGCCTAGTCATGCGGCGACTGCAGCATGAAAGAATTGTGCGACTGCTCGGGATCGGCATTGCTCCCAATCAATCTCCGTGTATAGTGGTAGAACTGATGGCCGGCTCGCTAGGTGATCGAATTGGAGTTGTTCCAAGAGAGCCATTCGCGCAAAGCCTTCAGTATCTTGTCGACACGGCGGAAGGTTTGCGCTTTCTTCACGGCAAGAACATTTTGCATCGCGATTTGAAACCCCACAACATCTTGATCACGGCAGGGAGAACCAAGATAGCTGATGTAGGTTTGGCCCGCTCTCTTCACGGTGGTCAAGGTGCAGACTTGACAACTCTGACACGGTGCCCCGGTACGCCTTATTTTATGCCGCCAGAGAGCCTGCAAGTGGGCACAACATACGACGAAAAACTGGATGTGTTTTCTCTAGGAGTGGTGATGCTGTCGCTGCTTGTGGGACGACCGCCTTCCCCAACTGAAGCTACTGTTCTGCTGGAGAATGGAACGCGGAGATCAGTTCCGGAGGGTCGCCGACGCAAAGCAGATCTGGATCGACTGGGCTCGGATCACCCACTGCATTCTCTAATCGTGTCGTGTCTGCATGATGATCCTGGATCTAGACCCACATCGGCTGATGTTCACATGCACTTACTGCAGATCTCACTTCCCTCTATGGTAAGGATGTACTCACATAGTATAACATGACTTTGTACTCACTGTGCTGTACTGTTAGCATACAGCCTAGCTCGGTATACATGCAATGTGTACATGTAAATGGGTAATACTGGCTGATGCATGCCTGAATGGTGCAGCTACCAGAGCATACATTAGACCTGGCTTTGCCTATGTACACACTCATACTCTGAGGGCACGTTCGCCAAATTGTCACTCTTTGACTTTTCCAGGAGATTCGTTTTTCTGAAGAGGTGGGCCTTATTGGCCTCTTCAGAAAAACGAACTCCTTGAAACTCCGCAACCTCATCCGATGGGAGGGGTAGATTAGTTCCGAAGAGTTTGGAATAGCTAAGTCACGTAGTACGTGGATATGGTCGATCTGATCGGACGTCATCATCGCCAAGACAATTCCACTGAAAAACTCTAAAATGAAAGAAACCGTTCTAATGGGACAACTCAATTAATCTCTTTTATAAATTTGTTCGAACAGTTAAATGAAGACAATTCGAACGCCCCCTAAGTCTTAGCTGGCTGTGCAGCATGACATTATATTACACATGATAAGGGTTCTGATATTTCAGTGGAGGCGGCGCACCCTGTCTGGACTGTTACACTTCAACAAGGCAAAACACAGACGTGTGCAAGATGATTGAAAATCACATGCTGGCTGGTGATTGGCTGTTCCTATGACATCAGCCATGTGACGTGTACACACATGTAGGCGTAGAGTGCATCTGCAGTACATGTATGCATAGTATAGGCCAGTGAAATTACTCAATCTGCGGACAGCATGCTGTTTCGTTCTTTTTGAACTCATCAGCGCAGCACAGAGGAAATGAGGCCGAACCTGATAGCCATGGAAATAAAAATTTCCAATCAGGCCCGAACGTACCAGTGAAATTATGTAATCAACTGGGGGGGGGGGGGGAGGGGGGTTGTTATAGATTTGCATTGGTCCCTTATCCAGAATGGTAACATGAAAACATAAAGTAGTGGATCAGAGCCATAAGGGGTGGTCCGTAATAAAAAAATTAATAATCCGTTTACATACAAAAGGGGTTGGGTGGTCAGGAGTGCAGGCAGAATTTAATTTTTAGATTTGTCCGAGTCCAGTTTTCATAAACCTTTTTTAAGTCAGTGACTTTCATACAGTTGTTGCACTGGCTTTGCAGTGTACTGACTGTACTCGTAATGTCGCAAACACCAGTATGATGAACATGTAGTTGTAGGACGTGCATGACCGTTGGTAGACCTACTAAAACAAAAACAAACAAAAACCAGAAACAAAACAAACTAGTACAGTAGCTACTAGTACAATGTACCTGACACAGGTGCAGTCAGTGACCCTGGGGTCAGGAGTTCTTATTTTCTAGCTGGGCATTGGGAAAAATCAAAATATTAATGGGAAAAATTGGGGTGGGTGTGTGGGTTAGAGACAATTTTGCACGAGGACAGATTTTTTTAATTTTCGATAATAACGGACGAGACTCCTAAATCCATAATAGCAGTGACCAGTTAGTACTACTCAATATACAGAGATTACTGCTCCACTCCGTCAATTTTGAATTCTTCCTTGCAAAATAATTGAATGCTTTCTTTCGGATTTGTGAAATTGTCTCGTTGTACTACAGACCACGGGATTTTTGTGTTTTCTGTGATCCATAGGTAGAAATGCTTCAATTGGGTGCACGCAGAGCATGAGAATCCATAGTGTGTGTGCGTGTGTGTGTGTGTGTGTGTGTGTGTGTGTATGTGTGTATGTATGCTTGTGCATGTGTGTGTTTGTGTATGATTATGTGTGATTATGTGTGCGTGTGTGCATGTGTGTGTTTGTGTGTGAATATGTGTGTGCATGTGTATGTGTGTGTTTGTGGATGGTGTTCTTTTTTACGTGTTTGTCTAGTCCGCAGATCGCTATTTGAGTCAGTTTGCAGACATTCTGACTCAACTGCAAACGATTTCCACACAACAGCAGGCAATCATCACCCGAGTGACAGCTGTGGAAGAGAAAGTGAACGGCATGGATGCATTGAGGGAGAGAGTTTCCACCATCGACACTAACCTCAGTGCCCACTCATCAACTCTCACTTCACTCAATTCCACCGTGAATTCACGCTCGGCTGCAGTGGATTTACGCATTGCTGCCCTGGAATCACATGTCTCTAGACAGTTGTCTAGTACCAGTACTGAACGTCTGGAGGCGCCTACCTCACACAGCCGTGACTCTATTCCCCAGTCCACTCCATCACCACGCAGTGCATCTTCTGCAACACCACCGATGATGTCATCCAGCGCTTTCTCAGCTCAAACACCGGCTAGAGTGCCCAGACAAGAAACAGCCTCAGATCAGTCTACCTTGCCCAGAAGCACGTTGTCACCATCAGTATCAGCAGCGCCAGCAGCAGCAGTAGTAGCTGAATCTCCACCACGGAAGGTTAGGCTACTTTTGAAAGGCTTACTTTTACAAGTTTATGCGACGGTGTATCAAATTTCTCCTACAGTCTGTTGCTCTGCATGACTGGGTGTGCAGTGGTACTTGTATGACGTCATCATGCATTAGTTGAATAGTTTACATACACACAACACTGGTGTGTGTTCAAGTCAGAGTCAAGTCAGAGTTTCACTATGCAGGGCAAAACCATGAGTATATATGACTAGTTATGCTACAAATGATATTAGTTTAGTCCTTTCCTTTGTTCGTTTTGCTGCCGACTCCATTGTTGTTGCCTCAATGTTGAGTTGTGGTCATTGTAGTGCTTGAAACTGATTTGTCATGGACATTCCAGAGGATTGACAGAGCTGCCCATTCTGATCAATTGTTGCAGAGTTGTATAGTCAAAAAATGTGTTCCCTCACCTTAGGGTGATGTATATCCCATCATCTACTCCTTATACGAAACATGAGGCCAATGAAAATTTGAAATCAAAGTATGAAGTGTATGACCACCCAGCCAGGTTTGACATCACTACTTTCTCCCTCTATTGTCCTAGTGTTGTTTGCTGTTGTTATTACTGCTCTCCTGTATTGCAGCGTGATTACACACAGATCCGCAAATCAAGGTACTCATTTGGTAGTGAGGGCAGTGGGAGAGATCAGTTTAACAGACCTTGGGGACTAGCATCCAACAAAGCTGGTGACCTGATCATCTGTGACTCCTTCAACCACAGAATAAAGGTAACTGAACTCACAGTACAATGCTAACCGACAAGTACAATTTGTGTATAGATGTCACTCTGATATATGACCAGCTCGGGATGGTCTGTGTGTGCATTAGTTGAATTGAAAAATAAGGATCCCAATTGGTCAGGTTGAAGATGCTCAAGACTGTCTGAAACAGTAGTAGACAATCCCTTGGATGAATTCTTCAAAATTCTAAATTTTACGTTATTTCACCATCCAGTTAACCTGTACACCCAGTGAACACAAGAGCTGAGAAGTTGATATGAGCAGAATGTCATTTCTCTTCAGAAGTGATCAGTTTTTCTAACCATCAAACTGGAGAAAGGTGATCATTGTACATCACAAAATGCTTGGAATACCTGGGACATCCCCACACCTAAATGTTTTCTTGGCCGAGCCATTCCAATTGCACATCACCACCGCAACGAGGACATTTCCATTGTGATATTGATATCTCAGACCCTGAAGGCAGCTGCTTTGCTCCAACAGAGCTCATCAGTGCTGGTTGGTAATAGTGGATGATCCGGATGAAGAGATAATGTTATAATAGGGTAAAACAGTCGGAATTGTGCACTTTCTACATCGAAGTGTGGCATGCTATAGGACACTGAGGCTTTATGTGATAACAGACAGTGCAAATGTGCGTTACTGGGACATGCTTTCAGGTCGTCTGCAGTACTAGAATTGGTACAAAATCTAAAAACAAAGAGAGGTGCTACTAGTACCCAAATAGCCACTCATACATACGAGTACTGAATGTCCAAACACTGCACGCTTGTATTGTCACATCTGTTAAAACTGTCGGTTATCGCCTAACCCCTTTGTTTTCTAGGGCATGCCACACTAGAGAGAAAGTGTGAAATTGTGAAAATCTCCCGGGCCCCTATACAACATCTGTTGTGATTCTTAACTCGTCAGTCACTGAACTGATTTTATTGTAAAGAAGACACGAATTTATAGAGTGTGAAGAAGAGTATAGCTACCAAAAAGCTATCTGGAGTGGCCGACAGCACATTGGGTGTGTATGTGTGACTGACAGTTTTGGACGAGCTTTTCGCTAGATTCACACTATAGAACTGCAACCAAATGTTTAGTACATGTATGTTTGGATCTGGGCTATGTATGGGTGCATGGTTGTGTTAACATTTGTAAATTGTATTCCTTTTTGTCAATACACTTAGATACATGGTGTTGATGGCCAGTTCAAGAAGATGACTGGTCGGGAGGGTACAAACTGTGGAGAGTTCTGCTGCCCAACAACTGTGCATGTAACAGATGATGAACGAGTGATCATTGCTGATTCTAACAACCACCGACTACAGGTATGGTCTTGGTGTTCCAATCATGTTGTAAGGATTACATGTAAACAGTAGCCTCTTTTACGTGCAAAATTGATCAACAATGCAGTAAAGGCAGCTGCTCAGAAAAACTTCAAAAAGGCCCAGAGAAACAAAAGAGAAAACCGGCACACGGGGGGGGGGGGGGTCCGTAAATTCATGTATCTACTTAGAGACGTCTAATAGGCGTTTCTTTCTTAACCCACCCACCCCCAGCAAGCCCCCCCCCCCCGCAAAAAGTGCAGAAAATACCACTCATAACAAAAACCATGCTATGAACACGTATACAGTACAGTCGAACTCGCATATTAACGAATTTCCTGATATAGCGAACCCTTGTCCATGTCCCTGTTTGAAACCATACAAAATTTGACCCTTTATAGCGAAGTTACAGCAGCGTTTTCGTTTATAATGAACCAAATCTTGTAGGGCCGCATGTACATGTAAAGCAAGTGCACCTGAGTCATACTGTCATGGGCTACATGTGCACCTGAACCTGAAACCAAGCCCAAGGATCCTGTTTTACACCTACAAGTCTGCTGGTAGCTAGCTGTCACCGCATGCAAGCGCATGTTTCTGGGAGTACAGAGTATGGCTGTGTATGTGTCCCTGTCTACTCTGCCGTGACGCGTGTAGTGCAGTGTAGTGCATCTCAACGCCTACCTGTACTAGCTGTAGCAGTGCTACATCATGTGCATGTACACACGCGGTATGGTATGCATGCACTCTGAAATGTATTTTTTAGAAACGCCTTGCAGGCGAACCCACCACAAACGTCTGTTAGACTTCTCTAAGTAAATACATGTGTTTACAGACGACCCCTGAGTAATCAACAACATACAATTACACATACATGTACATTTTACACAAACTATGTTGTCATTGGATACCCACATTATAACCCATACAGAAGTAAATACCTCTTTGTAATTGGTGTACTAGCTGTGCTAGTACTTGTTAGCAACAATCCGAACTAGCGCACACACTGCACTGCATTGCTTTGTACTGCATTCAAGACTGACGTCATGCGCTTTGTTTTGCTGCGTAATCACAAATGGCACCAGCCCATTTTGCGGAAAAGAAAAACAAATCTTGCTTGCCCTGTTGTGCTCTTCCAGACAACGGATCGTGCTTCAGCAGTGTTTCTTTTCCTTTCGTAGCTTTGCTGCCAGCCCGAGTGTCACCTCGACACTGTATTTCTTCAGTATGTCTGACCTAACTGTCGACACTGTCAAGGCAATGCCTTGCCAAGCCCCCGCGGCGAGCCTTCTCAGCGCGGCTTGAATCCGAAAGGAAACTTAGTAAAAGTATTTTACAGGACCGTTTGCTGGCACAACTAGCCCTTGGTAGTGAGGTCTGCTCCGGCCAGGAGAACCAGCAACATGACAGTGCGGACACGGCTCGCGAGCCCAGAAGCCCGACTTGCACCAATGCCTCCTCCGCCAGCTCAGGTGATGCGGGCTCAACATGGGATCTGCGCTCCCGTAGATCTACGTGACGAGGTGTAGTCGGCTTTGTCGGCCGCCATTTTATTATTATCGGAGAGCATTGTGCCGCTCCTCACCCAAGGCCAAGGCAATGCGGCTGCTGCCGCCACTACGCCAGGCCAAGCCCTTGTAACCCACCCGATCAGCCACCTGCACCAGCTGTGCCCAAGGCTGTGCAAGAACGTATCTTGCGAGGGGAGTTCGTAGATTTTTCAAGTTGGTTGCCTGAAATTCTTGCACACTTCCGGCCCAACATTCCGGCTGGTGCACAGCCCGAATAACGATAGCCAGCTATATATCGTTGAGTCGGATGACCGTACGCGAAGCAGGTGCGTCGCAAGGTTCACGATAATTATACATGTAACTACCCGGCTCGAGGCATGGACCACATACATGTCTGTTATCACGGCTGCTGCCCTACACCGCACTGCTGAACTGATTGCGTACCAGCAGTTGATCCTGACTGCTAACCGCCAGTTCTTCCCAAGCGCGTGGCTAGAGTACGACCGCCAGCTGCGGCTGCTCGTGGCCCAGTAACCAGGCACGAAGAGGTTGGACACCATCGACGTGAACCTATGGCAGATAGCTGTCACAGGCCATGCACACCCAAAATGCGCTCAATGTAAGACGGCCCATCCAGGGGCGGTTTGTGTCCTTTTCGTCCCCAAGCCAGCAGCATTTACCTCCAGTGGTCGCAACCATACCAGCGACAGCCAAGAAATCTGCCGCAACTTCAATGGAGGTCGCTGTTCTTCGTCGTCGTGCCGCTTCTCCCACACCTGCAGCCAGTGTGGCAAGGACCACCCATGCATCATGTGCAACCAGCAGCAGCGCGGAGCCAATCGGCCACCCCGCCGCTCCTAGCAGAATGGCTACTGAATAGCTTGACTCGGTACGTAGCTTCTTTCCTATACACTCTGCAGACACCACACTGCTAGCTGACCACTTTGCCCGCCTGTTACATAACCACTCATATCAATAATGCGTTGCGTATGTTCTCCATGGGCTGCGCCGTGGCTTTACTCTTGGATCTGCCGGCCAACACGACATTTCGGTTTTCTCTAATAATCTACCCTTGGCTTTCACTCACTCGGCATTTATATCCGAGCAATTAGCTGCTTCCTGCGCCCGCAGCGAGACCACAGGCCCATTTCCGTCACCTCCATTTCAGTTCATGCGCCGCTCTGGTATTGGTGCCATCCCCAAAAAGAACGGCAAGCTGCGAATGATCCACCATCTGTCTAGTCCGGAAGGCACCGGCGCGAACGACAGCATTCCTGCCGAGCCGCTCTCTCTGCACTACGCGAGCATTGACAACGCGATCAACATCATCACGTCATGCCCACAGCCTGTGTATTTGTCCAAGCTCGATGTACGCAGTGCATTTCGGCAGATCCCAGTCCGCCGTCAGGACTTCGCTGGGAAGGCTCCTACTACTACGAGCGCTTTCTGCCTTTCGGCCTCCGCTCCAGCCCAGCCGTCTTTGACTCAGTAGCCACAGCAGTCAACTGGATCATGCAGCACGAGTTTGCTATAGATCACCGGCTTCATTACCTCGATGACTTTCTCGATATCTCCACTGGTTTGGCTGCAGCCAACCAGCAACTCACCACCCCCCTCCGGGCATTCACGTATCTCGGCACTCCTCTTTGCTCCATCCCAGCTCGAGGGCCATCACCATCATTGACCTTGGTATTTTCCTAGACTGCGGCTACCAGAGGACAAGCTGTCCGAGATCCGTGCGCCACTCATGGCTACTATCAGCGAGCGCAGCATCGGCCAGCGTCAACTCGAGTCCCTCCTGGGGAAGCTCACTTTTGCTGCCCGAGTCATCGTTCCTGGACACACATTCATGCGTGAACTATGATCAGCGTGCCCTGAACTGTATCTGTGTATGCGAGTGCGGTGCATAAAGCCCACCTTGAGAATGGGTTTGCCGGCCCCTTAGTAGATGCGTGGCTTCTGGAGAGGGTGTTGAAGGGCATCCAGCGATGCCATGGTACGGCTGTACTCACCCCTCGCCTTCCTATAACTATGCCAATCCTACGACACCTGACGGATGCACGCCGGAAAAGTAGTATCCTGAATGGCCATGACAAGCTGCTCTACCAAGCCGCCATGCTGCTTCTTTGGATTTCTTCGGTGTGCTGAATTCACTAATGGCATCACACGGGGCTGTACTAGCTCCCCTGGTGACGGACGCTTGCAACTCTTCCTGCTTTCATCCAAGACGGACCCATTCGGTAAAGGCGTTACTAGTGACATTGGCCCGTCTGTACCGCCGTACTGCCCGGTCCGTGCCATTGTTAGCCACCCATTTGTCACTCGTCGCGAGGGACCAGAGCAACTCTTGTTCGTACTCTCGAACAGACAGCAGCTGACCAGGCAGTCATTCACAGTAACAGTATGGTCTCTTGTCGCTGCGGCCGGTGTACCATCCCAGTCGAACTACTCCGGGCATTCGGTCTACATTGGTGCAGCCACCACCGCTGCTATGGCTAGTGCCCCGACTCCTTCTTCCGAGTGGCAGGTCAGTGGAAAGAGCGATGCGTGTCTATGCTACATCCGGACTACAACAAGCGCTAAGCGCCAGCTATCGTCCCGGCTTGCTGCCGTGCCATGGATGCCATGATCCCCAACTCGGGTGAGTAATGAGCTACTGAACTCTAGCTGCGCAATGCTTGCCTGTGCTGACATAAATTGACCCTTGCTGTGCGTCAATAGTGCTTAGCTAACGGAGTGCTGGTTTCATGGGTCCACTCTCACAACTGGTGTTATCTAGCTATTTGCTGCGGCTCTGCCTTGCGCTATATTACATACATTTAGCATTGCAGCTCTATGTTGAGCTAACAGCAGCTCTACTTTGAGCTAACAGCAGCTCTACTTTGAGCTAACAGCAGCTCTACTTTGAGCTAACAGCAGCTCTACTTTGAGCTAACCGCAGCTCTACTTTGAGCTAACAGCAGCTCTACTTTGAGCTAACCGCAGCTCTACTTTGAGCTAACCGCAGCTCTACTTTGAGCTAACCGCAGCTCTACTTTGAGCTAACAGCAGCTCTACTTTGAGCTAACAGCAGCTCTACCTTGAGCTAACAGCAGCTCTACTTTGAGCTAACAGCAGCTCTACTTTGAGCTAACAGCAGCTCTACTTTGAGCTAACCGCAGCTCTACTTTGAGCTAACAGCAGCTCTACTTTGAGCTAACCGCAGCTCTACTTTGAGCTAACAGCAGCTCTACTTTGAGCTAACAGCAGCTCTGCTCTGAGCTAACAGCAGCTCTGCTCTGAGCTAACACCAGCTCTACTTTGAGCTTCAAACCAGTTGTTTCGAAACCAGCACTCCTCAATCCAAAGATGCCTCTTTGTTGACTTGTTTGTGTGAGGGATGGGGCTAATGGTGTACTAGCTGTGCTAGTACTTGTTAGCAACAATCCGAACTAGCGCACACACTGCACTGCATTGCTTTGTACTGCATTCAAGACTGACGTCATGCGCTTTGTT